CTTGAACAACAGCTCAGGGCTTGACCGCACGTTCTTGAGAAGCTCAGACGCAAGCCACCTATCAAACCTTGGGATCAGGCCTGATGAACTCTGGCATTCTTTCTCCTGACCTACCTCGAAAGCCGTTGCAGCCCACTTGGAAAGGTATTCATTTGACGAAATGTCCAAGCGGCCAAGCATCAAAAAGAAGTTTGTCTTCCAAGCTCGAAAGTCTGCAGCACTCTGGGGAACCACTTCCAGTTTGGTGTGCAACAAGGCTCTAGAATCAACAATCTCCCTTTCTGATGCATGCGAGGGCGACTCTGAAATCAACTCCTCTTCGTCATCATCCGACCCTTCACCCCCCTGATCGATTGGATCGGGCGGACCTCCGGGAAAGCCTTTGCCAACACGAAGTCCGCGAGAAGGTCCTGCAGGAGGCGAGGATGAATGGACAACTGCATCATGCGAACGATCGAACAAAGGTCGAGACTCACGACTTGGATCCGTGCTATTTCGGCTTGATTCAAGTGTCAACATCCTGGAACTGAGTGACTGAACAGCTTCCATAATTGATTCCAACATTCTATTGCCTCCTTCGTTGTCCTTGGGCGAAGATGCATCAGGCACAGGCTTCGGCACAAAAGCAGGCGCAGGCGACTGGATGACCGCGGCGCTAGAAGCAGCCAGTCGGGCCTCCAGATTGTCGAGACGAAGACTCTTGGCAAAGACGCTGGATTTCTGAATCTTTATGGCTTATCAGGTTGAGGGACTTCTGGTTGAGGTCGGACAAACGGTCGATCTCATCTTTCGCTTTGCGAAGTTGACCCTCAAACATTGACTGGTTGAATTTGATCTGGTTCTCAAGGGTTTGCTTTACCTCTTGGACCGCTTCATGCAAGCTGGTGATCATGACATCTTTCTCAACATGACCGGATTGGAGCACCTCAGTTTGGCTACGGAGTTCTTCAACCAGGGACGTCAGGTGACCGATGTGAGCGGTGGCTTCCTGAAAGACCTGTTGGGCGACACCTTCAAAGTGCAAAGCCCTCTTCCCCGATAAGTCGTTGAGACTCAGCTACAACACGACCGAACTCTGCATGATCAATGCCAACATATGCCACCTGGACCGTGTTAAAAGACCGGGCATCATGGAGGTGCAACTCTTGGGTCAGACTTGATGGATTAGGCATGACCTCATCTTCATCAGGGCTCTGGATCCTAGATGGGCCAGTTGGTCTCTGGAGTAACCCACTCGACGAAGGCACCGACTGACGATCCGCGATAGCCGGAATCGATGGTTCACCCAAAGAAGACCCTTCCGCTTGAGACTGAGGACCTTTGGGCATGTTCTTGATGACTCTACTCAAAGATCTCCTTGGAGGTTTTGATCCTCTTCGACTACCATGCGGAGTTCCTGAACCATGAGACGAATGAGACTGAGATCGGCTCCTAACCGCAACTGCCATACCACCAACAGTAGTGTCTGAACTGACGTTCAATGATGATGACTGTTCTTCTGACATGACTTTGGATCAGTAACCACTCTTGACAACCTAAATGCACAACAATGCAACCGATCGAACGACTCGCGAACTCAAGGCAAAATGCACTTTTATACGCCTGAGGCGCTAAAGCAGCCGATCAGGGTTCGACGAACGCTCAACGGGATGCACTTCCCGGAGCAGCCTTAGGCACACGATAGGCCTGGCTTGGATCTTCGGCCAATGAGAAGGTGCGAATGAATGTCTCGGCTTTCTCAATTGCGTAGGCTGACGAACAAGACCAATCGTGGAACTGATGTGGGGCAACAAGCTCGGCCCTTGGCTTCCTCACCTGGAAAGCTACTTGGCCTGCGCTCCAGAAATCGTTCACAATCTCCGGATTGTCGTCGTAGATGAATGCAAGGCCTGATGAAAGGGCCTGACAAGCTGCAAGCTTGCCTGCTGGACCACAACGCTGCTCGGTGATGAGGATGTAACGAACAGGCAAATTGGACAACTCCGTAAGATACAAAAGATTCTCCAAATTGGCCTGCGAACGCTCAATGTGCGAGCAGATGATCAACTCTGTTGTGTTCCCTGCTTGACCGGCCAAAGTTCGAAGATGGTTCAACGATTCAATGTGCCTCGGAGGGATACCTTCACCTGTTGGCCTTTCAGCAAAATGCCGGGAATGCCTGTCCGTGTCAAGCACTTGATGCCAATCCCACACAAGGAGATGCTGCTTGATGCGAACAAATGAACTCTTGTCAACTGAACGACACTGGCCACCTTGGACAACAAATACCTTCAAGCTGTCGTGAAATGGGGAAATCTGGACCCTACCAGTCTCCTCAAGTTCAATGGCCTCGTCCTCAATGACAATGATCGATGACGGATTCTCCGCTGCTCCTCCTGAACTGGATGACTTTGAAGTCAGGTCGAACGGCTGAAACGGAGGTGCTTTTGGTGGCGGACCTGAATCACTTGAAACCTCTGCTGATGCTTTTGGAGGCTCAATCAACTCTGTCGGGCCAGACGGCAGCTCAGTCACCTCAGAAGACTCCACCAACGAAGATGAACTGTCTGCAACTGTACCCAACACTGGAACCTCAAACGGCAAATTAAGATCGTCCTCCACCAAAATGGATGGAGCCTTTGATGGACCAACACGCTGAGACGGAACAATCACGTCTGCTTTGGGTTCTGCCGATGATGAACTCCGGACTGCAGCAGGCTTGGTAATCACTTTGCTCTTTGATTTCGGCAACGACTTCTTGGGAAACTCTTCAACAGGCTTTGGAGGTGGACCAACCACTGAAGTCGGCTTTGACGGCACGACAATAGATGCAGCCTTGCTCAATGACGCTTTTGTTGCCTTTGCTTCCCAAAACTTTGCCGCTGCTGGCCTGATCACAACTTTTGGAGGCGATGCGATTGGTGCCGAGCTCAAAGCTTCCGTCGGCACGGCCGAAATGACCCGTCTGATCGGCGCTGGCGGTGGCGGTGGTATCCGGACAGGTGATGATGGCGTCACTGACGTCGGAAGTGGCGCTGAGGGCGTCTCTGAAGTCACAACAGGCTCGGAAGGCGTCTCTGAAGTTTCAACAGGCGATGCGGGCGTATCTGAAGTTCCAACTGACCAAGGGTGTACGACACCAGACCAAGGGTGGATGATACCAGGGGGTTGAGTGGCAGCAAGGGCGCGTCGTTCAGAAAGACCCTGCAATCCACGCCACTCAACACTTGCTCGACCCTGGAACCAGGCTGACCAAGGAACAAGCCTGACCACCTCAGCCGTCACCACACTCAAGGGCCTGGCCTTTGGCAAAACCACCGCAGGCCCAGCCCCCTCCAATGCACCGTCCTCGTCAGAACCAGAACTCTCGTTGTCCCAAATGCGAGGAGTGTAGAGCGGCCTTGATTGTCCACCTGAATGGATGATAGGCACCTCTTCAACCGGAACACCAGTCTGCTCTGACACGTTCCGTGCGTAGGCCGTGCGACGACGTTCGCAGCGGCCCCAGACCTGATCCCTCGCTCTCTCTGATGAGGACGAGGAGGGCCAGCGTCCATGCACGCGCCGGGCGAATGGAAGTGATGAATGCTGTTCCCCCAAAAGCAAAAGAACAACAATCAAACAAGCCGATACGGCTGATAACCACTTGAAGTGGAAACCAACCCAACAACAACCAAACAGTCAACACAAGTTGAGTACGCCGTGACCGCGACGAGGCAGCGGCTGCGGGCGCACCTTTTACCACTTGAGCCAAAAGTACAAGTTGTTCATGAACTGTGCATACATATGAGGTGTACTGTACACGGGAAACTTCAAGTTATATACATATATATATATATACATATATTAGCACCGTTCACGCAAAACACCAAAAAGAATAAAAAACAAATAAATGTGCACCATGGCACAATATGGCACACTTGAGCGGGGAAACACGAAAGGTAGAGACGGACCGAGTAGCTGTCGGGACCTTTTCTGGTGAGGGACTGTCTCCGGTGCTTCAGGAACGTGCCCCTTGGTCAATCATGGATGAAACCAACAAAGCCAGAGAGCACAAGAAGGCATAAGAAGGCTCAAGAGGAACTCCGTTGCGGTCAGATTGCGCCACACGGCTCTGCAGAGAGGCTGCGTTGCGTCGACGCTCGTTTGTGTCTAGGTGTGTGAAAACAGGCGCGCGTAAAAGTCGCAATGCGTAAACGCTCGCATGTGTACCAGCTATGGTCCCACAGCTGCACGCACTGTGTCAGGATTACAGGCCTGCACGCGTTGCGTCGAAGCCGCAGTGACTCAGTGACCAACCCCCTTGTAAGGATAGTGCTGGAGGGGTGCGGCCGGTACTGCCAGGGATGGACGTCACGCTATGGTGGGTGTGCTCCACGATGCGGTAAGATTTCGCCACGCTAGGGTATAAGGCTGAGTCGAATGGTGTTCCGCGACGCGAGGGGGTTCTCCACAGGGCTTTGCAAAGAGGCTGCGTTGCATCGATGCTCGTTGGTGTCGAGCAATATGGTCTGTGAACGCAGTACGCGCTGTGTTAGGCTGCCGGGTGCGCACGCGCGGCATCGAAGCTGCATTGCGCGACCTCATTGCGCAGGGTTCGTGCTGTATTGCGCAACCTCATGGCCAGCGTCGTACTGCTGTGACTGTTAAGCGCATGACTTCACCTTATGTCCAGAATTTAGTAGTGCTGGCGACGAGGGGAGGGGACGGGGA